TGCATGTTAGTATACTTCTTATAAAATACTTAGATTTTAAAAATATACTTTTAGTCAGAGCGCTTCAGCCCCATAGCATTTATAGTTTGTATATCTTTTATGGTCTGATATACTTAATTCACTATAAACAATGCTCTGATACCAATCTGTCACACCCCCAAACCATAACGGCGGAAACATTCGGGGGCGGAGGACGTCATGTACAATATCACAACAATGATAATAGTAATCAAAGTACAACAACCATTGTACTTACAAAGTTATAAGTTTTACATTTAGGTTCAAAACATAGTATATATAGCACCAAAAGTACAAGTTTAAAAGACATGAGTTTATATAGCTCCGTCTTCTCAAAAGTTGTGGATGTACCTGTTTACTGTTTCCCTAAGAATACAAGTAGTTTTGAAAAGGTGTCAACAATTAAGTTGGTGAGTTCATAAGTATGTTTATAACTGAAATCTGTTTTCTTGTTCTTTGATAAAGTAATCATGTTTTCCCAGAAAATCCTATATCTTATGTTGTAATATAATGTAAGTAAAACATGTGAAAGTTACCGTACTCTAATGTGGTAAATTGTAAGTTAGTTAACTTGAAATCATAAAAAGTATATCTTCTCTGTACTGAAATAGTATTCTATACTTATACTTGTAAATTGTTGTATTATAGTTTTATTATAATAAAACTATGTGAAGTTGTTTCCTTATTCATACACTAATCATTTTATTCAATACTAAATTGTGAGTTATTAAAGCCATACTAGATGACCTAAGATCGCCTAAACATGACGTTCTTCAGGCGTCGTAAAAGCTACAACATTTGTCACCACAGGTCTGCCGACCTAGCTGTTGCAAGCAGCTCTGGTGCGGGATTGTCTGTCCCGTATAGATCTATACACAAGTGTCACACTCCCCCTCCAGGAGATTCTGGTTATAATTTCAGGACTTGGTTGGTACTTAGAAAAGTACATGAAGATTGTCTCACAAATGCTATATTGATGATTACGTGTAAAATAATGAAAAGTTACTTAGAAATAAATATATTGTAAGTAAGTTTCAAAAACTATATTTAATATAGTTTACATGTTTCTTTTCAGTAAGGTACTCTGTTTGTTTTCAGTAATGTACTCTGTTTGTTTTCTGTTGTGTATTTTGAACCTTAAAATCAATGAATAAGTTCCCTAAACTATCAATACCTATTATAGTTTATATGTTTATTATACTGTAATTTTGTTAAATTTTGTAAAAGTCTGTAATTCTGTTGTTCCTTGAATTCCATTGTTTATATTCAAATAGCACTAAACAGTTTGAAAACCATTTTATATTTATATAAATGTAATATTTATATATTTGTGATTAATTAGACCTTTGATTAAATAACTTTACCTCAAGCCCACAACCAAACAAGGAACATGAAATGGGGTCAAATTACATATTCTTAATCTTCTGAATCCAAATTATATAATTTACACAGATATAAATATGTAATTTTTGATAATTATAACAATTTAAAAACACTAAAAACATTTAAAAGCATTTTAGATATTAACACAATTTTTATTGTGTTTCATTTGTATTCCCCCCCCCCCCCCCCCCTAAAACAGTTAAAAATCATAAAAATATAGGGGTATGAACTCACCTTTTGTGAGTGATTCGATTGAAAGTTCGATTTAGGATGTTTTTCCACAAGTTAGATCCCGAAGCAAAACGAATCCTATAGGCATTTAATGAAATATATATGTATACTTTTAGTGAATATAATCACAAATATGATAAGGAAATGGACTAATTTGTAAGTTTAACTTACAAATAAGAGTGTTAGAAGCAAAATGGATGGCTGATTTGAGTTTACGGCCAGAAGGGGTTGAAGTTCTTGGGTTTTCGGCCACCTTCAAGTATGTGTTCTTGGTGAAACCAAGAAGATTCAAGGGTTTTCGGCCTAAATTATGGAAATTGGAAGTGTTTGTAAGTTGAATTCAAGTGAATTTCGCATGAAATTCAAGAAAAGAAGAAGTTTCTCATGTTATTGCGGATAGAGGAGGTTTTTGGTTGATGATACTGGAGAGAGAATTCTTGAGTTTTCGGTTGGGAAGTGTAGAATGAAGGAAAAATCAGTCAAACATGTATATATACATAAGAGATTGTGGTTGGAAACGTTTCCCGAGGAGATAAGATCTTCGGGTTTGCGCTTACGAAGGGTTCACGGCTGCGAAGGGTTCACGGCTACGATGGGTTCACGGCTGCGAACCGTTTGTGGTCCGAAGAGTGTTTGCGGTCCGAGGAGAAAAAGGAAAAGCAAGGCTTCTCGGTTTTTGGGTGATTTTAACTTCTATTTTATACAACACTTTATTAAGTGTTTAAATGTATCAAACATATTTATTTTAACTTTATTAAAATAATAATTCACAAAGTTTAACTTTTATTTGATGGATTTGACTTGAGTTTACTTTTACAATATTGAAAATAACGAGGATGTTACAAGGTGAAAGCAGCTAACTAATTAAATTCTCAGGAATACTTTCAAGACCCTTATTCATATTTCGAACATTCATATGAAAATAAGTGTCTCTTACCTCAATAGTGATTTGTTTTACATCTTTCATTGCTTTCTTTAAATCACTAGCCAAACCTTATGTCAAAACATGGCAATATATAACTTATTTATATGCTTGCATAATTTGACAACTACTTATTATTCGTATTTATAAAATTACATTTTCGAGTTATTATGCATTGTAAGACAAATTCAATTATTAAGTCATTAGAGGAGCTAAAGTCACATGCCAATAAAGGTGAAGATGCCAATGGTGCACTGATGAAATAAGTGAAATAAACATAAGCTATACTTTCTGAGGTTTAATAATAAAATATTTATCATTCAGATTATGGAGGAAAAAACAAATATGTATAGTTTACTTACTCAGTTGAAGTCCTTAGCAATCTATACACCATATCAGCTTGTCATATCAAGGAAAGTGAAACGTCAATCCTATGGGAGTTTATATGTTTTTATGCGCATAAACATGTCGTATGTTTGAACAATAGTTTTGGAAGACCCTGATGTATTGACAACACTCAATTTTCTTTTATTTTATTTATTATTTTTTTTTTGTGTGATTTGTGATTAAAGACAGTTTATACTATGTAACTAAAAAGTTTAGGGTGATTTTGATGTAGAAGTTATGTTTCAATGGAATTTAATTAGTTGCTCTAATGAGGGCTTGGTTCTTGTATCGAAGTAAATTACTTAAGGGTTTTATAAGTTTTGTTCAACATTTATTAAGTTTGGGGCATATCTACACACTTAATCATTTGTGCTTGTACTCTAAACAATAATAACAACAAATAGATAGCCTATACTACAGGATAAAAGAATAATTTAATGAAGATAATGAGCTATGTACCTAGAACAATAAGCATTCTTCAACATTTGAGCCATTGACCGGCTCAACAACAAACGTCTTTAGAAAGACAAGCAAACACATCTACTCTAATAAATGAAGGTTTTTTGTCACACGTCCTCTTCTCCTTCATTTGAACACATGACATTTTCTAGAATTTTTAAATTTTCTATTTTCCACTTCTCATTTTATTGTATTTTTCATTTTATTAAATTAAAATTCCATATTTAATATGTAAGGTAATATATATGTAAAGTATTTATTAGAAATGGTTTATATATGTAATGTATTCAATACATTAAAGCCTTACTAATTTTAATAATTTAAAATTTTTCTCATTTTTCTTATAAATTCAAACTTTTTCAAATTCTTAAAAATTTCATATTTAATTTTTTTTAATTAAACCCATGTAATACATAAGTTTCACACCTAATGAATAATGTAGAGTGTTGTTAGTACATTAAGTACATTAAGGTCGTACAAAAGTATTTTATTTGGTAACCTTTACCAACAAGACCATACATATTTGATGATTAGAAATTTGAATAACTAAACCCTAGAAATAAACATTCAACAACTTATTACTCATAGATAAGGACATAGTTGAACTGCAACCCGAATTAAATTAGAGCAATAACAAATCCATCTCGACCTACTGATGTCTGATCCAAGAAGAAATAGTCAATGAGGAAACTCTACCCGACCAAGATCAACCAAACATAAACCTAGGACATTGTCCAAAAATCAAAGAAAGAGTCACTGATTGTCATATACCTACATAAATTGGGCCTAATTTAATGCCCCTCGTGATTTTTTCCCTGGGCCGTTTCACTTGCCGCACAACAACTAGGTCATCGAGCAGTGGCATATGTGAAGCCATCAAGGATCTCGAAGAAGTGAGAGTATCCACCATTGATGTTCCTGTTTGGAGTTGTTTATGATTGTCGATAAAGAAGCAGACACTATGAAACTTATACTCCTTAATTTTTTTTTATAATCGTGATGAGAGGAAAAGAGAGCGATACACAAGAGACGAGGGTATTTTTGAAGTTGAATGAAAACCACAACCTATATGTATCCCCGGAAATAAGACGATGATAAGTTTTTCCTGATGACAGACAAAATTGAAAAGAAATATCTAGTGTTTTTTCTAATTCCATTTTATAACCATAAATAACAACGTATTTTTATGTGTGTCATGAAGTTTAATAAAAGATGACATCTTTTATGACGGACATGTGTATCTGTCATAAATCTCTAAAATTTTACATAAGATAACATAATATTTATGACAGGCTTCTATCATAAAAATGATATATGTGTTCGTATGTCATTAAAGGCCTTTTTTTCTAATAATGAAAAACTTCTCTTGTTAAAAAAAAAATATTAAGTATTTTATTACCAAACATTTTATTAACTAAATAACTTAATGTTATAATAAATGTTACAATTTAGTAAGGGTTAAGATATGTATTATAAATTATAAGTTGAGATTGGAATATATTACATTGATGTAGAAGATAATTGCTAAATTTGACGGAAACAAAAATAAATTGAGTTTTTATATTTGAATATTGATGAAGATCACATAACTATTTGCAAATTATTTAGGCCGAAGCTCAATGCCCTCCACGATAAGACCACTCTTCCAGTTTCGTTGCGTAACCTCCTCAAAAGCCATCTCAACTTCCCCATCATCTCCTTCATTGCACTCAAATTCTCCCAACTTCATCTCCATCCACCCATCATTTCTTAAGCAAGGAAACACGTAGTTTTCTTGCTGAAACTGTGGTCTTCGAAGATAAACATTTTCCGACTCTATTTCTATCCCACCAAAACTTACCTTTGTTTTTGCAGGCACAGCAAGTCCCCTGGTATCCCGAGTCGTTCGAAAGACAAGGTATGCGACATATGTAGTCTTTTGTGACAGCATCTCAGATGCTATTTTTCCTTGGATCCCAAGTGAGTATCCTTCTCTAAGTATGCACACTTCTGGGAACCTGCACAATTGGCAATGTATATGGATATCAAATTGTAACATACAATGTGCATGACTCTAATGAGAGAAAGAAAGAAAGAGAAACCTTGATTCAGTTATATGTTCTCATTCCCAGTATCGAGGTTCATCTTGCCATGCAATTGTTAAATCTTTTGCTCCCAACATGTAGCACTTTTTCCCACTCTCCTTATCTAGCTTGAAGCTCTGTTTATGACATTATATTAAACCATATCTTAAGAATTAAATTTATTTATTTGCAAAAACTCGGCCTTTTCTGAAATAATTTGCAAAAATAGTGTACATTTGGTTTCCTTTGCAAAAATAAGGTTATTGCCCACCAATTCATATACTTAAATGATATTGAAGTTGTTATTCAAGTTGAATTGAGAAAAATAACAAGTTGTATATGTTTTATTTTTATGCTTATTTTGCAAAAGTTGAAATTTGTTAAAACAATCCGTAGTTTAATGATGAAAAATAAGATATAACTTGTACAAATCAAAAATTGATATTGAAGATGTTCAAGTCAAATTGCAAAAAACGAACTGTTCAAAAGTATAAATTTGTGTAACTGTTCTCGTTAAATTTAAACAATGATATCCATAGTATAGGCTTAGGTTATTCTATTTAAATTAATTATTGTGTTATTATATGCATCAATATAGGCCAATCATTTTACTTATTTTAAGAAAGTGATTTACCTATATTATTAAATAAAAGAAAAATAGAATAATGCCATTTAATTAAAAGAAGGGTAATATTGTACATTTGCATTGCCTTAAAATTAGGAAACCGAAATTTAAAAAAAGAAATTTACAGATTTTAATGGATCTTTGATTATCTTAATTTTTGAATTTTGATTTTTTTTTAAATTAATTTAGTTTAAATAATTCTAATATAATTTTTAATAATATCCGGTTTTATTCTGACAGAATGACATTCTTTTTATAATGATATTCTATGAAAATGCTAGCCATAAACTAATAAAGAGTCTTACTTCTCGCAGAATAAACAAATTTTTAGATACAAGTTAAATTTTTTCTACTACATCCTTGAAAAAATAAAAAACTTTATATTTTATTCTATAATAATGAAACACTCCCTAATAACAAACAAATATAATATGTGGATTATTCTATTGTAATATACTATTACATATACTATTATCATTCTATTATAGATTAATCTAACAGAATATGACAATGAGTAGTGCATTTTTGTGGAAGATCGGTGACCATTGAGGATTATTCATGTCTATCCCACACACATTCATCCAACCTTCGGGCCATTGATCATCATGTACTTCATTCATTCTATGAGAATATCTGTCATGAAATTGAATTATGTAAGAATAAAACTATGTGAGAATGCTTTTATACACCAAAAACTCTTATTAGGTTTTTAGACTGAAGCAGTTGACCTTACTACAAGTAGCAAAGGTAACATATGGAAGAACACAAAAATAATTCTATGAGAATATTGCACACCAGATGTTTGTAGAAATGCCTGAAAGAGAACTTGATGTTCAAATTCTTGAAGAACACAAAATAATTTATGAGTTCGTTATTTGTGTTATTTGATTTTAACATGTAGTATGAGTTCTCTTAGAATTACTAAAATTTGTTTCTCTTAGAATTACTAAAATTTGATTTTAACATGTAGTATGAGTTCGTTATTTGAGTTCTCCTAGAGCATAATTTCAAGCTTCTATTCTTCCCAACTATTTTTAGACCATTCAAAGACTCAAACAACATCTTCAATAAACTAATGATAACTATCATTCCTTGTAGAACAATAGCAGGGAACTAAGAACACAGTGACTTTCCAGCTCCAGCTAGGAAAATCACCATACTTGATTTCCCAGAAAGCATAAATGTAATGACTTCCAAATTTCAATTGCCCAACCAAAAAAGAATCAAACACATGAGTAAGCTTCAATAACCTGATTAGATTCACATTCATCTTCCTCCAATGGAAAACCTTCTTGTTCACATAAACACTGCTCCTCTTCTAAATCTGCAGGTCATTCAAAGTCTCCTAGGAAACGAAACAAAAAAGAAAGACCAATTAGATTTTCATCATAGTACAACCAAAAAAACAAAAACTTTGTAAAGTAAAGAACATAGCAGGCCTGGATGCGGAAGATTGCGTCTAATACCTTAACCATCGCGTTAATGGGTTCCACCGGAAACCCTAAACACCAACAAATTCAAATAAAAATTAATAAATTGTAGCAATGAATCAATACATATGTACCAGCATACAAAGAGCGATACAGGGGTGTGTAATCGATTGGTCCGATCGAACCCTAAACGACGCCCTAATCAAATTAATCGGTTCTTATTGAAAAAAAGGCAGAAATCGAGAGAGAGCTGGAGTTTACCTGTATAAGCGCTTGGGCATGGTACCGCTGGTCGACCGCCTTCTTCTACCACCAGCGTCAATGAACGGAATGTCGTGAAAAAACATCAGTAGAACCGTAGGCGATGGGGGAAGAAATCGACATTCGAAGTAAGGAAGAATGACGTGATGATCAGTAAGGAAGAAAGGGAGAAGAAGAAGAAGAAGAAACCTAGGTTTCTTGATGGGTGGACATCAGAAGTAATAATGGCGGTGGGTAGACACCGATGTGGAATCTTGAATAAAAAAACGATGATTATCGATGGAGGAGGCTGTGGTGAAGTAATCGATGATCTAATGCCATGTACAGACGAGAGGGAAAAAGTTGGGTTTTAATTAAAACTGATGTTCCTAAATTAAAGGGATATTAATTGATTTATATATTTACCATAATTAATTAAATGTAAGATTAGATATTTACCATTTTGAAATGATTGGCCTACATTGATGCATACAATAACACAATAATTACTTTGAATACTTGAACCTAGCTCTATAAATAATATCTAATTCTGAAAAAAAATTCCACACTTCATGAGTTGACTTCTGGGGAAATTTTCATATAATTGGACACTAGCTCTATAAATAATATCTAATTCTGAAAAAAAATTCCACACTTCATGAGTTGACTTCTGGGGAAATTTTCATATAATTGGACACGACAGATTAAATAGAACTGTTTGACAATGAAAAAGGAAATAGGATGATAGATTTACCAAATAGCCACGATGGAGGATGATATGTGAATCCGATAAGAAGAAGTAGAGTTGCTTTTTAGAGCCAAAAACGACCACCGGTGAAACCGCTCTCCCAATGATTTCACGGTAATCAGGTGGCAGAAACCGCTCCCAAACAGGGTCGGAATCTGCTGCTATATTGAATCCTTTGGAGATGGAGGCAGCTCTGCACACATCCCTAGGTGAAGTTAGTGATAATATCTCCGATAAGCAACCTTCCGGCAACACCGAGATACTGGCTGCTTCGTTCATCTGATCTCTCCGTGTCTCTGTGAGTGTTTGTTTACAATGGCGAATCAAAAACATCCGTTAATGGTATGTTTAAAATTGATAAATTCCTCCACTCAAGGCCTCAACAACTCAAGTTGATTTTGATTTTTTTTTTCCAACTTGCGCTCTAGTCCGTATCACGAAGTCTTCCGAGGGTTATTTTTTTTATTTTTTATTTATTTTTTTTTTAATTCAAATATTTTTTTGTTTGTTTAATTACAAACATTTATTAATAAAAAACTTTTTGTTTGTTTAATTCAAACTTCCCCACAAATCTTCTTTTTCTATCTTGCGCCATGCTCGTCACCATATTTTTTTGTCATCTTGTTCCTTTCTTGTATATCTATGCATATGTCTTAGACCTAACAATTTCAGACACGAATACACGAATCTGTGAGAGACACGACACGACACGAATACATGACACGAATACATCTTAAAAATTGAGATAAAGCTTATTTCTCATCGTGTAATCGTATCGTGTCAAATTCGTGGCTGATACGTTTTCATGACACGAATACACGAATTGTTTTTCTAGAAAATTGCAAAAATAGTTCATAGTGTTGTTTTCTTTTTGATTCCTACGTTCGAACTAGTTTTTAAAATTGTAGGTTTAGTTTTTTTAAACGTGTTAAGTTGTGGATTCCATACCCGATCAACTGGAAAGGACGATATCATTTTATTATTTTATGTTTTTAATTTTCGTTCATTTGTTATATTATTTAACATAAAACACATCCACCTTTCCCCATTGTCGTATCTGGAGACCCCTCGGACCTTCCATCGCCCTATAACCACCCAATAAATCCCCAATATTCAGGGGCGGAGCTAGAATTTGTCGATAAAGGGGCTTACATATATTGGAAAGAAAATATGTCAAAAAACATAATAGTCTTTAAAATTGAAAGAGGTATTAATAAAGAAAAAATAGTAGGAGTTAAGTCCATCTAACAATAATCTATCTTAAATTTAAAATGATTTTTTTAGGATTCAAAATTAATTAGTTTTTCCATATTATTTTTTATCACATTGTGAACATGTATTATGAACATATTCCTAATATTATCATTAACAAGATGTGGTTGTGGGTCAAGAATATTTACTTTTGGTTTGAAAAAAATAATTGATAGTTTTTTTTCTCATGATTTACCTTATAACTACAAGAAATTAGGAAAACAATCATTAATAATATCATTAATTATAAATTATATTGCTCAAAAAATATTAACCATAAATTACATAGAAAATAAATATTAATCATAACTATTAAGAATTTGAAATTATATTTTCTTGAAAATGAACTGAATGCCGACGTGTAAATTATAATTGTCCAGTAAAAAGTTGAGGAAATTGGGCTTTGGCGGGGACATGTTTGTTTTGTGCCTACGAGTTTTTATTTTGAACTTAAAAGTTGTAGTTTTATGAACAATACGCTAATATTATATTAAAAAAATTAAGAGATTAGGGGGGGCTGCACACCTGCATGTCCCCCAATTGCCTCCGCCTATGCCAATATTGTTATTGATGGTGACCGTAATCTAGGGTTTTAATTACATGTAAACTAATAAAAATCTAATATAAAGAGAAAATGGTTAAGTTAACATTGTTAATAGAAAATTGTTCAATGCAAAGATAAGTAAATAAGTCTATAAATTGGAAAACTATTTAGGGTTAACCTAGCTAATGAGCTAAACATAATGCCTAATACAAAAAGAGCCCAAATAATGATTAGAATAGTAAGTAAATAAGTATACAAGGTGAGCATCGTGATTCCATTTTCTCCTACGAATTAGAGAAAGCTAGACCGTTGTTTTGGTTATGATTAGTGACAAATAAACAACTAAGGTGTTGTTTGTTTTTTGGAAAAAAAAAACTTCTTTAGATCTCTTATTGTTGTGGGGTGTAGCACACGCATAACACTTTTCATTTTGCAGTTGTTTGTTTTTTAGAAGTCTTCGGAATAAAAAAAACATATGCGTGTGTTGTGTTTGCCTCTTCCAACCTCTTCTTCTTCTTCTTTTTTTTCTTGCTGAAATTTTGATTATATGTCGTTGAAATCCTATTTCACTTTTTTTGTTTATTCTTGCTGATTTTTTTTTCGTTTTTTTATATTGAATAATGATAATTTCTTGATGAAATATCATTATTTTTTTGTAACACCCGATTCCTGGTACGCGTCTAATTTAAGCATTCTTGTGTTTTTCTCTGGGACTCGACGAGATGGATGCCCAACTCATCGAGTAGAGTCGAGATCCGCGGACATTTTAAGTGACCTACTCGACGAGTCGGGAGACTGACTCGGCGAGTAGGTGTTGTTTGAGTGAAACCCTAAATTTGAGGGTTTACACCCTATTTAAACACTTTATCTTAGCCTCCATCGTCCCTATCACTCCCAGAGAGTTGTATATCGAAACCCTAGCCGTTTTTGTGTGTCCTAAGGCCATTTTGGTGCATTTGGTGGATTGTGAAGCTTGAGAATAAGAAAGAAGCTTGAGAGTTCGAGTTGAGGTTTGAAGATCCAGAGATTTTGGTCCATTTCCAGCTCAATCAAGGTAAAATGCCCCTGTCTTGGTCGTCCATGTGTTTATTCATCCTTAGAAGCTTGGACTTTGGGTACATTTAGGGCTTTCCAAGCCATTTTCGGATTTGTGAGGTGTAAATGGAATCTTGACTTCAGATCTGAGTCATTGGAGGGGTCTCATGGCATAAAGGTGCCAACTTTAAGGCCATGAGAGCCCCATGCATCTTTTAGAACACCTTTTTATGGATTTTTTTTAGCCAAAGACCCTATGCATGTGCACCAAGTTTGGAGCTTTACGTGTAAAATGGACATTAGAAGGCCAGATCTATGGTTTTGAGGTGTTAAAACCCATTTAAATCGACTATATATATTAATGGTCAAGGTTGGACTCGACGAGTCGTTCTTGGGACTCGGCGAGCCAGGGTGTATTGACCATCAAATCCCTTCTGTGGATGGACCAGTTGTTAGGATGGAAAGTCCCTTAGTTGTTTAGACGCATAAAGGGACCTGGGAATCATAGGACTCGGCGAGTGTATGAACAGACTAGGCGAGTCCAAGGCAATCTCCCAACCTTTGAAGATGAACTCGACGAGTTGTTCATACAACTCGGCGAGTCATAGACTGGATGTATTCGTACGAGGGATATGAACTCGACGAGTTCAAGGTCTAACTCGGCGAGTCGGATGAAGATGGTCCCGATGGTGTTTGAAGGAGAACCCGTCGAGTTCTTGCTAGACTCGACGAGTGGAGACAGGGATTGTATCAGGTTAGAGGAGTATGGGCTCGACGAGTTGGTAGGCCAACTCGGCGAGTCAGGTCAACTGGATGTTGACTTTGACCAATGTTGACTTTGACTAAGCTTGAGTTGACCCTGGTTAGGGTTGTATATTCTATGTGATGACTTAGAAGGGTTGTCGTGTAGGGATTGAGGAGTCGAGGGGAATCGATTTTCACACCGAGGACAGTTCAGACACTACACGACATCGAGGTGAGTTACCTTCCTGTAGGGGTGGGTCTAAGGCACCAAGGCCGGCCCACTAGTAGTTGATTAGTTGAGATGATTGTCTTTGTGATAATTGTCTTGTCTGCTATTGCTTGATATGTGAGTATGCTAGTTTGCTATGATATGTGAGATAGTACCAGTAGAAGAGGGCTAGTCCCCGATTCGGTCGCTAGGACCAATGGGTAGGTCGGACACCCCAGATATGTCTGACATCATGATTGTGATATGATATTATGTGTTAGCAGTAGGGGTGAAATAGTCCCCGGGTTCGGTTGAGATAGACCGGAGGGTAGGTCGGCACCCCAGAATAGCCTAACATGGGTAGGTCAGCACCCTAGAATGGTTCGACATGGGCAGGTCAGCACCCGAGAATGGCTTGACATGGGTAGGTCAGCACCCCAGAATGGCTTGACATGGGTAGGTCGGGCACCCCAGAAATGCCCGACAGTATGTATGATATGTGATTGTATGGTATGTGGTATGATGGGGGAACTCACTAAGCTTTGTGCTTACAGTTTCAGTTTGGTTTCAGGTACCTCTTCGTCCAAGGGGAAGGAGTCGGCGGTGTAGCAGCGCATCACACACACATGATTTCCGCATGGAATATTCTGGGATTGTACTATGATTTTCATTACCTTTTATGATTTGGTTTTGAGGCATGACATTATGGTTTTATGAATTGATGTAATATCGACAATGTTTTGGTAAACTAGTTTATAAAGTACCTAATTAAAAATGAAATTTTTGGCCTCGAAAATTGGGATGTTACAAGTTGGTATCAGAGCCTTGGTTTGAGGGATTCGGACACACCCTCAGGGGTGTCTGGACTCAAACCGAGGGACTAAAAGATTTTTCACAAAGAAAACCGTTTTCTGAAAGTTAAGAACAAAGAATGTTGAGAAAGAACAAGGTGTGTGATGCGTGCGACCGGCCGAGCCCAAGTAAGTTTTCCCCAAGATACCCATACTTGCTATGTTATGTTATATGATATATGATTCTGAGAACTGCATGCTAGATTAGGGCTAAGGATCTAGGAGGATGCCTTGTATGCCTGATATATGATTCTAAGAACTGCATGCTAGGCTAGGGCTGAGGATCTAAGAAGGATGCCTTATATGCCTGTGGTATGAGCTGTATGTTAGGACTGTCTAGTCAGCAGTAGGATAAACTGATTAGGTTATGCTTGATGTGGTTACTCAATGCACGAATGATGCTTGCTTTGTGCTATAGGGGTCCTGGCTAACTCTAGCTAACTAGTGAGCGGATATGTAACAGTACCCGCAAGCCAGTTAGGGAAGGGTGGTAGGGACTCCTAGTGCAGCTGATGGCGGAGAGTAGGTCGGAGGGTGCCCTAGGAACGCCTAGGATGAGATTAGTTGGAAAGGGATATTGGTTAAGGGACTTGGTGAAGTTGAGGCAATCCTTGAGGAAAGTACGGATAGATGTGGAAGGTAGTAT